CATGTATTTTTTTTTCTTTCTTTCTCTACCAGGGATTGAACTCAACCACTGAGCCACATCCCCGGCCCGTTTTTTGTGTTTTATTTAGAAACAGGGTCTCTCATTTAGAAACAGAGTTGCTTAGTGCCTTGCTGTGATGAAGCTGGCCTTGAACTAGTGATCCTCCTGCCTCAGCCTCCAAGCCACAGGCACATGCCACCATTCCCAGCCAGGAGTACATTTTCTAACTTCTGAAAGTTTTATTTTAAGCAGGAAGTAATTTTGTTATAGAACCATTATTGAAACATTGTGTGATTTTCCATAAAAATTCTCCCATGCAATGTAGAAAATAAAATGAATGCATCCCGTGACAACACGCTTACCTCCAAATCCTAATCAAAAAGGCACCTGAGCCAAATTAAATCCCTTATGATAAATTCCAAGATGTACGTTCACCATTTCTGCTCTGCAACAGCTCAGGACTGAGAACCTGAGAACTGAGGTGGTGAAGCGCCAAGATCAAGGTCTGGGTCTGTTTCCAGCTGAGCATTATGCTGCTCCCCATTGGCACCAGCTGTGGCACCAGAGGCACCGGAGTAACTAAGAAAACACCGTGAACCTGCTGCAAATTGAAACCTTAGTCTAAAATCTTCTCATTGTCTTATAAAAGTTCAGTGGCACATATATTGTTAAAATATTAAAAACATGGAGAATTTCTTGAGCAACAAGTTTTGAACCTAATCAGACCAAAGAAGTCTTACTACCAGCAAAATATCCCAATGAAAACAAAGCAAAACAAACTCTGGGGTCAGGGGTGCAGCTCAGTGGTAAAACACTTGCGTATCACATACACAAGACCCCAGGTTCCACCCCCAGCACTACAAAATAATAATAGTAATAGTAATGATAAATATACATAATAACCTCTTGGGAATTTGTAAATGTATGATACATATTCTCAAATGAAACAGGAGCATACTCACAAATACCTGAAGAATGAATCTGTTAGGTCATAGCCAATTACAAAGCAAGTGAGAGCGCCTATGTGATAGCAATTCCTCAGCAATCTTGTACCTCAGAGATGAGCAGATGTCTCCCAGACAAGTGGAATTTGAAGCCACTGCATAAAGAATTTTTTTTTTTTTGCAGTCTTGGAGATGGAACCCAAGGCCACATGCATGCTTGACAAGTGCTCTCACTGAGCCATATCCCCAGCCCTAGAACATTATTTAAGAAGAAAAAAAAATCAGTACAAACCTAATGACTTAATCTTACCTTTAAAACAAAAATGGGGCTGGGGTTGTGGCTCAGTAGTGGAGTGCTCGCCTAGCACATGCAAGGCCCTCAGTTCAATCCTCAGCACCCCATAAAAAATAAATAAATAAAATTAAGGTATTGTGTCCAATTACAAAAAAAAATAATAATTTTCTTCTTCTTTTTTTTTTTTTTTTTTAATGAGCAGCTTGGCGTAGTGGTATACGCCTGCAATCCCAGTGACTCAGGAGGCTGAGACAGGAGGATCAAAGTCAGCCTCAGCAACAGCAAGGTGTTAAGCAACTCCATGAGACTTTGTCTCTAAATAAAATACAAAATAGGGCTGGGGATGGGATTCAGTGGCTGAGTGCCTCTGAGTTCAATACCCAGTACCCAAAAATAAATCCCAGTACCCCCAAATAAATAAATAAATAAATAAATATTTTTAAAAATGAGCAAAAACAAGCAAATATATAGCTTAGTCTCCCTGACATTTCAACATAGTTTTATCTTGGGCCATTTCATTTTTTTAATTAATTAATTAATTATTTTTAATTAGGTATATATGACAGCAGAATGCATTTTGATTCATTGGACACAATTGCAACACAACTTTACATTTCTCTGGTTGTACACGATGTAGGTCACACCATATGTGCAGTCACACATGTACCTAGGGTATTGATGTCCATCTTATTCCACTGTCTTTCCCGCCCCCATGTAGCCTCTCTACCCTTCCTCCCATTTGCCCGATCAAAGTTGGGCCATTTCACAGTAGAAACTCTCAATAAATTCCAAGGAAGGGAACCCAAGTGTTAAGCCAGGGTAGGCTCATGCTTCTGCCTGCTTTCCTTCTTCCTTCTCCCCAAGCACACCCTTCCTACTGGAGTCACCTTCTTCTGGTGGGCACCTGCCGAGGACCACACCTGCCGTCTCACTGCAGAAAGCAACATTCAGCCAGCTTCTTGGAGCCCTCTCCACCTCCCCTTCCTTCACCGAGTTCTCTCTGTTGCTCCTCTCCCCCTTCTCTGTTTCCTCTGGTTCTCTGGAGCCTTAAGATTGCTGCAAAGCTAGCTGCTCGCTGCTTGGCCAGGCCTCAGAGCGGGCTCCAGTCTTCCCTCTCGTCCCTGCAGCCGAGTTCCCTCACCCCTTTTTGAACTGCCTCTCGGGTCCCCACCACTTGGGTACCAGGCTCCCACTGGGTGCTCTTCACCGTAGGGACCTTCTCATTGCTCTTTTACCTTCATCTTCTGCCTCTCGAGTCCACCCAGCAGAATAACACTCTTGGTAGGGTTTTCATGGAGTACATGGGGACACAGCTGTTTGAGTAGCTTTGAAGACTCTGCCCTCCCACGCAAGTATCCCAGCAGGTGGCCACAGTGAGGACCCAGAGGGGACCTGGGCTCCAGGGGACACTGTATTATGTCTCAGCCTCCCCTTTCTCCTCCACAAAATGAGGATGAGGGTAGTAGCTACCACTTGGGATTGTTGGAAGGTTTAAATACAGCTGAAGGAGTACTCCAGCTACGGGTGGTCTAGAAATCCGCCTCTTCTCTCCCTCCTCAGAGCTCCTCTGAGCTCCCCACCCCCAGCAGCTCTGCTGATGGCAGCCCTCCAAGAGAGGACTTTCCCTGAAAGCAGAAGCCCTCTAAACACATCCCCTGGGCCTACCACACAGCCCAGGCCAGCACAGCTCACAGGCCTTTTGCTTCACAACAATCTGTAAGTTGGTCTGTATTTTTAATTGCTACCCCAGAGCTCCCCATTCCTGAATTTAAAAACTTTCCCCCCCTCATCCTGTCCTCAAAGCACTTCTTCCTGAAAAAGGAGCCTCAAGCTGAGGGAGAAGCAGGGGAGAAAAATGAGTGGGGCCAAGAGGATTTCTCAGGTCCCAGGGGGAGGCGGCGAGGAACGTCAAACAGCCTTCTGAAGTTTACAAAGCCTTGTCTTTGGTCCTGAACCAGGAGGGCAGCCAGAAAGGACAAAGCTGGAGAGAGGACGAGGGCTGGGAAGAAGGGGCAGAGCCAAAGGAAGAAGGCAGGCACAGATTAACGGCCCACCCGCATCCCCACCACTCAGTGATGCAATTACCTCAGGTATTTTGAAAACACCCTTATTTCAAAATAAGGAAACTGGGGTTTTAGAAATGACATTTCATGTACTTAGAGAGTTACAATGCCTGGGCATCATGCCCTCTAGGACAGAGATTTCAAGATGGGTCAGCTTCCTGGGAGTTGCCTCAGCCCCTAAACTCCTGTTTTGATTTTTAATTTACAGTTAATCATGAGAAGATGAAAAACTACTGTGGGATTTTGAGTCTCACCAGGCAAGGTTTATCAAATTAATTTCTTTCTTTCTTCTTTCTTTCTTTTCTCTCTCTCTTTCTCTCTCTCTCACCCTCTCTATCTCTCTAATTCTATCTCTCCCTCTCCCTCTTCTTCTCCCTCTCCCTTTCTTTCATGCCAGGGATTGAACCCACGCACAGTTAACCACTGAGCTACATCCACAGCACCCCATCCACCTTTTTTTTTTTTTTAATTTTGAGTCAGGGTCTCACTAAGTTTCTTAGGACCTTGCTAAATTGCTGAGGCTGGCCTTCCTGCCTCAGCCTCCTGAGCCACTGGGTACTAAATTTCAAATCTAGAGCATTGATTGAAATGGGGAAGAAGGTATTTAGACCTTCCTAGAGATGATTGGAATTGTCATCTGCTCTCCTGAGGGCCCCAGGCCTGCTTCAACATCCATGTGTCCAGGGCAGCTCATAGTGGGGGCTTTGGTTTTCACTCTTGAGCTAAGAAAAGCCTGGAAGGCTCAGACTCCAGCCAACGAAAGAAACAAGGGTGACTAATGGAAGTCAGGGCGACATGGTGAGCTGCTGTGGAATTCCTGTTTTCTCTTTGGTGGAATAACTGAAATACATTACACCTTGCAAAGGGACGGGAAATTAAGTAGATTAATGTCAGGGTATCAGGTAAAGATGGCCCTCCTGGTTTAGGAGAGAGAGCCTAGACACCATCCCCACTGTGTGAGCAACTCTCCACTCTGTCCCTGGGCTACCTGTACACATTTAGATGTCATTTTTCAGGTCTCTGATTACTCTCCAGATTGACAATGCCTCACATTCCTCCTTCTGGTAAACTCCATGGTGTCCTTTTTCACCCTCTCCCCCAAAAGAGACCCCTCCTATGTTTTCAAGGAATCCATGACTTGCCCATTCTTGCTTTGAATGATACTGATCCAAGGCAAATCAATATGCTGCCATTTTCAAAATAGGCAGCTCAAAAACACCAATTCTATGTTAAAATTTGTTTAAGAACCTTACCACCAAAAGGTTAAAATGAACATAGAGTCAGTATTTCACCAATAGGAACCAAATCTAGTTCTTTATCTGAGTATCAAATACAGTCCAGCTAGCCTCCTGCAGAGAGGCCTTGTTGAAAGGTGCACAGGCTCCCCCTCACATTCCCTAGGCCCCATTCACTCCATTTTCACTGAGGAAGATAAATTAAGGCACTCGTCAAGTGGTCCAGATGAATCTGATCTCCAGGGTTAATCCCTCGGTGGCCTGACAAACTGCTATAAATTTAAAAAAAAAAAAACTTTTTAATATAACAGTTTTTTTCAAAATAAAAGGACCCCCAAGCCACTTTGGGCACTCTGGAAGCATCTGTTGATTGGATTGAGGAGTGGCTGCTCTTTATTAAAGGGTTGTTTCAGACCTCTGTGAGGCCTGGTAGTGGAGCCATCTGACCCCTGGAGATGCTCACCTTTCCTCGAAGCACACCGTGCACTTCCAGGTGGAGCTCCTCCCCAGGAACACACGGCACTCAGAGCACACACAGTGGCTGCAGCCCAGGCACACGGTCCCCCGGTTCAGCAGCAGCCCCAAGGCCCGCTGGCAGCGTGCACAGCACTTCTCCTTGTACTCACGGCTGGAGTTCCTGGCTCCTTTCCACCGGAGATGCTGCAGGTGTGTTTTCAGTTTCCTGTGGCCCACAGAGCCAAACAAGATAGGGCTGCATGGAATGCCAGGCTACAGGGCAGAGCCCACAGTACCCCGCCCGCTGCCTGTGGCATGGGAAAGGGCTTTGGCCTCCGACATCCTTGGGTTTCCACCGCAACCCTTGGAGCTGAGACTCAGGGTTCTCTGAACTGTGAAGCAGATGTCAAGCTTACCACCCAGGTGTCTGCAGGGATTACATGGCAAAGCATAAGTATATGCCTAGCGTAGAGGAGCTAGCTGCTACTTTTGTTGTAGGTTCAGCCTTGTGTGCCCAAGAACAGCGAAAGAAGAAAAAAGACACAGAATAGGGCATCCATTCTAATAAGCAAGGCATGGAAAGATCCACAATCATAGAGCACACATCTCTGCTATAGGTGCAAGTTACTCGATAAAATTATTTAACCAATGCTATGCTTTTGCTACTTTGTTTTTAACAGGTGATCAGCACACTTCCAGCCCCTAACTCCTCTAGACAACAGCCAGAGTGGAATATCTGTTTTATATCTCCCCCAAATTGTCATTAACCAGAGCACTTGTTCATGGAATGTCTCTGTTACCTAGTTTTAGAAGAGAAGAAACAAGATTGCATCAGAAAGGTACTTTAAAATGCAACTTTCAGTATTTGCCCTAGAAACACTGGGACTGAGTTCCTTGCCATAGTACCCATGTAACTTTGTTAATGTTCAAAATGTCTCCAGATCATTGAAAGCTCTTTAATCATCAAAGAAAATGCCATTTTTGTCAGCATATTATGTTTTCGAATGGAAGAAAGTTTACAAGCAGATACACTCTGAAGCTTTGCAATCACAAGGGAGGATGGAAAAAGAGCACTGTACCTTCCAGTTAACCAGAAAATGTTCCTTGTTTCTCAAGCATTTGGTTGTCCAAAGTTTTACATTCTGTGTTTTTCTTGGCAGACTTCAAAAGAGTTCTGCCCTTGGATATAAAACAAAACTAAAAACATATTCCATTTGCTTTTTCTTTTCTTTTTGGTGGGGGGATTGAACCCAGGGCTTCATGTCCCCCATAAACATTGATAAACAGGCACCAATATATTTTAAAAAGATGGACCTTAACAACTAACAGTGGACAGTTTTTTATAAATATTGTTTTTTATATATCTTTATTTAATTAATTTATTTTTTTAATGTGGTGCTGAGGATCAAACCCAGGACCTCTCATGTGCAAGGCTAGCGCTCTACCGCTGAGCCACAACCCCAGCCCCATGGACAGTTTTGATACCACCCAGCACTGCCTTATTAAGTGTTAATTCATATCAAATAGCTCCTGCATCTTAGAGACAGACAGGAAAGAAACTTTGTTGGCAAAGTAGTCAGGGACAGGCTAAGCAGGTTCGTGTGTATGCTCTGTCTTTCCTCAAAGCCAACACGGAAGCAAAGGTGGCCAAAGGAAAAAAGAGAGCAATGGATTCCATCAGACTTGCTCTTCCACATGCCTTCTGGTATATTCAGGTTACACCAAAAGTAAGGTGGGAGAACTCTTAACCTGAGAGCATGCTTTTGAGGACTTCCAGAAACCTGAAAGTGCCCCTTGGATTACTGCCCCAAAGCAGAGAAAAGGACAAGCAGACGGACAGCAACATCACAAAACGATGAGCAAGGGCAGCCTCCCTTTGTTCTTACCACCTTCCAAGTTTAGTTTGATAGCAAAAATAAGCACCCACATGCCTTCATTCGGGCCCAGCAGTTAGTGAGCAGTAACCAGTAAGCAGGTAGCCCAAAGCCAAGCAGTAGCAGACTCGGGGCAGAAAAAAGCCCAATCTGCGTGTGCCCCTCTGCAGACGACTCACCTTATCCTTTCTTCCTCTAGGCTTTGAACAGCCTGGTCACGGTGCAGGACCTGGAGAATGACCTCGAGTTCTAACTCCTTGAGGGAATCCAGATTGACTTCGTGGGCCATTTCTTCTCCTTTTTCTTCCACCCAATTTGGAAGAGTTTCACCGTCCTGCCAAAGGGCTCCAGCGTCCACAGTCACCCCCTCGTTCTCAAAAGAGCCCCTCTCCAACTTCATCGGTGACTCTGCTTTGCCTGGCGCCCTTTTTCCTTTTTAACTGTGTCATAATCCTCATGAAGAAAGCTCTCAGAGGCTATGCCTCTGCCAGTCACTGGGGGAGTGTTTTCACTGGGTGCTGCTCCCGCCTCTGACGTCCGCCTGAGACTAGAGCATATCTCTTCTGAGGTTTTGCCAGAGATTGTTATAAATTATGCATGGCTCCAAGCAGATAATTTCTGCAAAGCAGAAGCAATCTCCAATCTAAAATAAGTTTACAAATAGCAGTAAGAAGACTATCAATGACTTATAGAAGATAACCTTTCCTTTAAACTGTTTCCAGGTCAGAAAAAAAAATGGTCATTAAAGCCCAGGCTTTTCAATACCTGTAAAAAAGAAAAGAAAAAAAAGCATCATTTTTTCCTGGCTTGAAAATCTCCGCAGCATTATTGCAGAGAAGACCAAATGTTCTATCCAGACAAATCTTTCCATTTTCTGTTGTGGTGATGGTGTAGCACTTTAAATTTTATTAAATAAAACTTCCTATATCCAAAAACCCTAAACTTCCAAAGTTGGATTTCTTAAATTTTTTTTATAGTTGTAGATGGACAGAATGCCTTTATTTTATTTGTTTATATTTATGTGGTGCTGAGGATCAAACCCAGTGCCTCACATGTGCTAGGCAAGTGCTCTGCCACTGAACTATAGCCCCAGCCCCAAAGTTAGATTGTCCTAATATTGATTCTTTATCTTTGGTGGTCAGAGGTATAAAGGTCTATGTTTGAGGTACAATCATGCATCACTTAATGATAGGATAAGTTAGGTGAAATGCATAATTAGCCAGTTTTGTTACTGTACAAACATCAGAGTTCACCTGCTGCATCACACACCTTAGATGGTCCAGCCTGTAGGCCACCTAGGCTACATAGAATGCGTACATTGCTCCTAGGGCCACGATGAACAAAACAATGTGAGCTTAGATCAAGCACCAGGGAATATTATGCAACAAGAGATGCTGTAAGGGAGTTGGATGAGGTTGCCATGGTGTAACATAGCTCTCCCTTTCTTTCTTTCATTCATTCTTTTTTTCTCTCAGTACTAGGGATTGAATACACAGGTGCTCTACCACTGAGCTACATCCTCAGCCCTTTTGTTTTTTATTTTGAGGCAAGTTCTTACTAATTTTCCAAGGCTATCCTCAAACTTGCAATTATTCTACCTCAGCCTCCAGGATCACTGGGATTACAGGTGTGGGAATTGCATGCTGCAAGCACTAGGTGTATATACACACACACACACACACACACACACACACACACACACATACATGCATGCATATATCAAACCTCTAGAATAATGGTAAAAAAGCAAGTATAGTAAATGTATAGACCAGTAACAGGCATTGATTATCATTCACAAGTATCATATACTGTACAGAATTGTATGTGCTACTTTGACATAATTGGCAGAGCAGTAGGCGTGATTACACCAGCACCACCACAAACACAAGAATAATACAAAAGATTTTTTCAACTCTCCATAATCCTATCAGACCCTTATGGTATACTATGACTGACTACATCATCTTAATTGAAAATAAATTAGAGAAATGATGTTCTTAGCTGTTAGCTATTATTTTTTTCAAACAATGTCAAAACTCAAAAAATATAATCAATTAGAGAAGCATGAAGTGGCAACACCACAGCCTCAATCTATCAATTATTTATGGTTTTTAATAGTTTTCATGAGGCTCCTTATCCTTATGCATCAGGCCTTTTTCTGCTTAGTGCAAGTTGAAAGGTTTGATAGATATCCCTCTATCAAGAAAACGTAGAAGATCAAGTCAATATGCTTTCTATGATACCATTTTTGTTATCACACTTACATGAATCCCTTAGTAATATGACGCCCTCCAGGAGGGCAGAAGGGACATTCCACTTGTTGGACTTCAAGAGAAATCCATATTATATTAATTTATGATCCTTAGCAGATTTGTGAATGAGGTTAACAGAGCCCTAAGCCATCATTCTCTTTAAGCAAAGATTCTTAAACTTTTCCCTTAATCTCGGTAGTCCAGTGAGGCCTATTATTAAAATGTATAAAATAAAATACATTGGGTTACAAAGGAAATTGATTATACTGAAATCATTTTTAAATTGTGACATTAATCTGTGTGTTTGTTGATTCATGAAATAATAGATCTAGCAGTGACCTAATGACAACCTTAATTTCAAAGAGGAGGTGGTATAAACAATATTTTGAGATACTTACAACATATAATGTGGTATGAAACTCTTTAATTTATAGTCTTTCATCTCGTTTTACACATTTCAAAAATACAGGATCCAATTATCATTAAAAACACTGCCAACCCACACCTAGGTCCCTCAGTACAGGCGAGGGAAGTTCCTTTCCATGGAGAAGCGGGAGCTGGGGCTCCCTCTTGCGGCCACTCACTCCTAGCTACAGAAAAATGAACTCTTGGTTTCCCATAGCCATCCATGCAATCACTCAGTAAATGTTTCTTGAGCACCTTTTAAGTGCTAGGTACCGTTCTGGATGCCTGGGATACATGACTTGACTTGTAACAAAGCTATGCTGAGTGATGTGGCTTACAATAAGAGTACAAGGAGGGCCACCAAAATAAAGTCAGAGAGACATCAGCAATGAGAAAGAAAAGGATCAGATGGCTCCAACAGAAAACTTTGTTGTTGTTGTTACCAGCGGCCTCCTGGTGCCCCTCCAGCTCATGGCTTTGAGCATTCCATTTGACAAGTTTGAGCCACAGTTGCTTCATTTGGGACTTGTTCAGGACTTATCATGGAGACAGTACCACACTCCCATATTTAGAAATATGTGGGTATTTTTGTTGTCACAGTGACAAAGAATTTTCTTTAATTCCAATACAAATGTTGATTCTCTTAGCAGAAATTAATTTAGGAAAAAAAGTATAATTATCTGATGAAAGAATCTTAACCCCTGGAACTGGGGTTGTGGCTCAGAGGTAGAGCACTCACCTAGCACATGCAAGGCGCTGGGTTTGATCCTCAACACCACATAAAAATAAATAAATGAAATAAAGGCATTGTGTATAAATACAATAAAAAAAATTTTAAAAAGATTCTAACCCCTATATAAACTCCAAGTATATTTTGCAAGTTTTTAAGATGCTGAATTTTTTTTTTAAGGAATGCAACTATTATATAAATTGAAGGAAAACTACTTGGTTTCACTCAGAACTTTAACAAGAATCATTGCCATTGCAGAAGGACGTCACTGAAGAAAATACTTCTTGGAGTGTTTGAATCCCTAACACCATACTTTAGCAAGAGTCTGGGTGTGCTGGCCCATTCAATAGGACTCTGTGTGTGGACATCTGGTTACTTCCTGTTTTCCCATGAACTTTTCATACCAATGTACATCTTGTATCATTATTACTTACTACCCCTTTACTTCTCCTTTCATTACAATGACATTGCATTAGTACGAATATCATGTACGTGGGTCATACTGTACATAAATTTAATTTCAGGAGAGTAACAGGTGAACTACAAAGCATTTCCTGTGAGCATAAGTCTTGCAAGTTGAAGAACTATCCATCCATTATTCCTCAGGTCACTTTCAAGTTAATTATATAATTGTCTTGTTCATTTCTCAACATATTATTGAGTTTGCAGGAGAATGGGACACAGGGAAATAGAGGACGGGTTGGTTGTTGTTTGGTATTGTTCGGAGTTCAGAGACTTTAATTGTGAGTTTTCTTGTTTATGTAATAGATTCCAGGTCTGATCTCCGGTTACAATTGTGAGTTCAGAATTTCTCTTTCCATACAAATTGTTTTAATTATTTCAACTTTTCCATCCTCTTGTGCAAGTGTTGGTTCTTGTCTGTGCTTTGTCTCTTAGGCTAGCACTAGAGTCTTAGAAGTTTTGGGTTAACTGTCAACATGGAGATTCTGCTCTGTAATATTTCTTCTAAATCACTCAAAAACAATTCACTAAAACTATTCTTTTTTCTTTTTTAGTTGTTTATGGACTATTTATTTATTATTTATTTATTTTTATGTGGAGCTGAAAATTGAACCCAGTGCCTTATGTATACTAGGCAAGTGCTCTACCACTGAGCCACAACCCCAGCCCATCACCGAAACTATTCTTGGCTCATAGTCTACTTACCCAAGACAAGGTGCCCGTAAGAGACAATTTACTTATGTTCTAAAATTATTTAAAAGACTTTTGTTGAATAAACCTTTCCTAGTCAGTAGAGGGTTCTAGGGTGGCAGATGGAGTTAATTAGTGAGGTGAGTGGCCCCCTTGGGAAATACCAAGAGAGTCAGAGACAACTCCATCATCCCCACAGGGCTACCAGAGTAAAGTACAGGTTGACTTCTGGTTCCTTACACGAGCAGGAAAGTAAAAACCACATTGGTTTACTTTACACATTCTTGAAAACCTGGGTAAACAAATACACCTGTCTCCGGCGACTTAAACTTTTGCAGTGTTGGGAGCAGAACTCAGAGGAGGAACACAATTCTACAAAAAATAGGGGGCCCGGTCTTTGCACTGTCAGTGCAAAGACCACACAGCTGAGGGTTTGTGCTTCATGCCCTTCATGGGCAAAGACCACGGTGTGAGGATGGCACTCCTAACACAAATGGGCAAGGGGAACACTGGCAGGTCCAGAACAGTGGACCATTCGCTGTGCCCATTCGCTCCCACACAGTCAGGCGGACACAGTGAGTGGGAGCAGCAAGGCCCAGGGTGGCTAGGAAGAGGACCCCCGACCCCCAACGACAGGACAGAAGTCTCCCTGGCAAAGGTGACTCCAGCTGAGCCTGGGAGAAGAAGGACAGGCGAGGAAGGGGTTGGGGACAGCCCTCAGCTCTCAGCGTGTACCTGGCATCCCCCACCATCCCCAACCTGGCCTCTCTCTACCTCTCCATCCACAAAATCTCCAGTTCCCACCACGTGCTCCACCCTCCCAAACGGAACTCATGGTGCTGTCCTGAGGGTCCAGGCCCGCACTCCGCCCGTCCCTCGGCCCACCTGAATCTCATTTCCTCTGAGAAAAAGAGGGTTCAGGAGACCAGGGCTTGGGCCTGGCCATCCCGTGAATGGCTCTGCTCAGCTGCGGACTGGCTGTTGAGGTGTTGGGCAAGTTCCACGAGCCCCCTGGACTTGGTTTCCTTATCCCCAAAGCAGAGTGAAGTGCAGCACCCACTTCATGGAGCTGTGATGAGGAAATGTGCTGATTCAGCCGCATCTAGAGCACAGTGCCTGCCGAGCACCTGGAGCTGGGTGCAGACATTGGCTGGGGTCAGTCAGGGCTAGTAAGAGCATCATCATTATTGCTGTCTGTGCTTAAAGGGCCTGATCTCCCACTCCCTAATTCAGAAATTATTACCTGATATTACCTAATTCAGGTAATCACTTTCTACAACTTTCGCCCCTTTCTACTTTGACTATTTCTCTATGGAGACTCTGGTTTCATTTCATCTTGTACTGGAGTGTTTCCATGTACTGAGGTCTTCAGGGTTCCGTAATTCCCCCATCACTGGGCAAGGAGGTGCCCAATGTTCAACTTGAATTGAGAAAGCTGGTGAATATTGTGACATGCAGGTTTACTAAAGCAGGAAGTCAAGCAGAGCAGGAAGTAAGGACAGTCAGGGAGAAAGCAAATGCTCATTTCAGAGAGCCCCGCCTTCAGAAATCTGTAAAGGGTAGGAAACCCTGAGTCATTTCCCAGTTGGAAAGGAAGAGTAGAAATCATTGTATTTTAATGCTCTCAGGCATCAATTCACAATGCCATACACAGCCTGAATAATGAAATCTTGCAGGTCCATTTTTCTGGGATGATATTCATAATCTCATTCAACAAATTGGTCAGGTCCCACCCAGAGGCCATCTCCTAACGCCTTTGTCCCTCACTCCTCTGCACTGGTGGCTGCACTCCACTATCACATTCAACAATAGAAATAAATAAAACCTACAGCACAGCACCAGTGTGAATGAGTTTCCCCAAGCCCCTTAGAGAAGCACACCAGCCCGGCCCAGCGTTGTCTGGGGTCAGCTAGTTCCGAGGCCAGAACTCCCACATGCGCTCAGGCCAGTTGCTTCAGTCTGTGAGACCTACCTTCCTCCTCTAGCAAGGGGAGCAGAGGGGCCCTGCTTCACAGGGCTGCGTTGGGAACTAAGCAAGTCACTGGAGGAGCCCCCAGCAACAGCTGGGACACAGCAGGCACGACTCAAGGGCTTCTCCATGGCTTCCTCTGCCCTCCAGGAAGGCCCATGAGAAACCAGGCCATTTCTCCAGGATTGGTGGAAATTCAGAGAGCAGTGGTGGGATATCGCATCCTAGGCACGCTGTCCTCAGGGTACCTTCCAGAACCTCCAGGAGATGCCTGGAACCACAAACAGTACCCAACACATATATGCTATTTTTCCCCTGCATACCTATGAAAAAGTTTAACGTATAATTTAGGCAAACTGATATAAAATGGAACAGTTGTAATACTATAGTAAAAGTTATTTTAAACTAATGAATTGCATATTTCTATAATTTTTTTTTTTGAGACTGGGTCTTGCTAAGTTGCTGAGGCTGGCCTCAAACTTGTGATCCTCCTGCTTCAGCCTTCAGAAGGTTTTATATTCAGAAGGGATTATAGGTACGTGCCACTGTGCCCGGCTCTATTTCTGGAATTTTGCATTTCATATTTTTGGACCGATGTTGTCCATAGGTAACTGAAATCATGGAAAGTGAAACTGCGGACGAGGGGACTACCCTGTTTCTATTTGTCTTTAACTCTTCTTGCTGTTTTTATGTGTCTGGCACCCAGACAGTGTGGTCATGGGATTTAGTGCATCTGTTTGACAACACAGGTTTTCTTGGTCTTCTGTGGACCAAGCACATTCCAGGTAGCAAGGACATGAAAACAAGTGAGACACGGTGAGTTTTGAATTCAAGAAGTGCACACTCTAGCCAGAAAAATGGACATGAAAACAAATAAATCAATGTGGAGGATGCATATAAACAGTCAAGGATATACATGGAGGGAGAGGCTTGGTATGTGGGAAGACAGAGAGGGCTGGTGGGATCAGGGAAGGTTCCCAGGGGATGGAAATAGTCAACAGTCTGCCAACAGCTGGTCACACTACAACTGTGTCTCACCTGGTGACAACCACAGCCATCTTAGCTTGTTTAAGAACGTGCAATGATTTCACACAGCACACAGTGTTTTCCAGAAAGTGCCTGGTCCTTATCTGACACGGGATTGCATTCACTCATGCTCTAGAAGCTGCAAACAATGCTGGCTTCCTTTACTCAGCCTGACAACAAAGCTTAACTTCAGCTTTCCCATCTGGCAAGGGGATCAAGTGCAAGCAATGTAAAATTGAAGGAGAGAAAAACAAAGGAGAACGGGAAAGGGAGATATTCCTTATCTGCAGGCAGGTCCTTGTTTCTCTTATCCAGTTATGTCTTATCTCTGAGCAGACAGACATCAGATCAAAGGAAATAAGTTCTCACCACCTCATTCTGATGGAGGGAAAAATGACACTTGAGTGGAAATGCAAATAGTAGCAGATCACTACGGGTCTTTCAAGAGAAACTATAGGCATTTTCACAGCCTTGAAACCACAGTCTCCGTCACTGATACAGAAGGCACATAGCAAGGTCTTTCCAGGGGCTGCACCTCCGCCCCGCCAGCTTCACCACAGCCACTTCCTTGAGCAGCTTCGCAGGTTGTGTGCAGCCACAGTGCAAGTACCTCATATGCAAGGGAAAAGCTGAGCGACTAAACTGACCTTGACGTTTTGCCAGGCCAGCAAAAGAATACAAGCTACCGAGGCAGGTGATAAAGGAAGAGCTCCTCTAGTCTCTAGTTCCAGCCCAAACTGGGCTCCCAGCTGTAGCCTACAAAGACAGTCTGCAAAAGCTGAGACGACATGCACATGGGTTCCTTCAAAAGCCTGACACGGGAAGAGAGATGGGTGCTTATAAAATCCTGTCTGTCTTGTGACTTAGAGGTGGATATTCATTAGTGAGCCTGAGCTTTAGGACCCTTCACTTGGGCGGCCCCATCCAACACCCCACCCAATTCATACTTGTTTTCTTAGTCTCCACCTGTTGTATGAGCTTTAGGTCCCTGAAAGCTGTGCAAGTCATGTAGGAAGAAGCGTGTGTGTACACTTAAACCAATACACCCTGAAGCCCTCCTGGGGGTGCAACTCATTGTTGATTCTATGTAATCTTCCCATCCAGGTGGATTTCTTGCCATCCCACCCCAGGCCCATCCAAAAGCTATTTTAGAATTAGTAAAAACTAAAATAGATATCCATGATTTTCATGGCTTAAATGTGACCTCCTTTTATAGATGGACAAAAAGTACACACCTATAATCCCAGTGGCTAGGGAGGCTGAGGCAGGAGGATCATGAGTTCAAAGTCAGCCTCAGCAACTTAGCAAGGCCCTAAGAAACTTAGCAAGACCCCCCCGTCTCAAAATAAAAAAATAAAAATGTTTAGGGATGTAACTCAATGGTTAAGCACCCCTGAGTTCAATCCCCAGTACCAAAAGAAAAAAAAAGAAATGAGAATTAATGTTATTGTATTGATATAGGTATTACTAATAACCACTGTTATACATTTTGTTGTGCCAACAGCCTTTTATATAGTACTTACTCTGGGCCAGTTTAAGCACTTCACATACCTTGTTTTAACTAATCCTCATTGTAAAATTATGAAGTAAGTGTGCTCACTGTACAAATAAAGGGGGGAGGGAGAAAGGGAGAGGGAAAGAGAAGGAAAGCTGTGGGGTTGGGAGAAGAAGTGCAAAGTGGGGACAGAAGAGGTGCAAAGCCTGGAGCAATTTACAAGACATTTACCTAAATTCATCTGGGTCTGTGTAACTCCTAAATGTGATGCTTCCTTTAGGCAGGAAAGAAGTAACAATCTCCCACTATCTTGGCTCAGTAATTTTTTTCTAAAACAATTTTAGTTACTTAATAAATTTTTAATATCAAATGTGTATTTCCTTCTGACAAGATATTTGGGAGTCAAGGAAGTTTGATTAAAAGAAATTTAAATTAGACCCTATCTAATAATTTCTTTATTCTAAAATCATACTTATGTTCCACCTTCAAACTAGAGATTATGGATGATAAAAACAATGTGAATAAATAAGCTGATCTGGAGCAAGTGAGCAGTTTACTGTATGCATAAGAATTTACAAACCAAAGGAGAAATCCAAAGACACAATCACCTTAAAAAACCCACACCATCTAGCTTTGGGATAGTGTCTTCTGTTTGTTTTCTTAACTAACTGAAATTACTTCCTCCATATCACTTAGATCATGACCACATTTTAAATGTATGTTATTCAAAATAAGTTCAAGTCATTCTTCATCTAATTTATTATTTATTAGCTTTGTTTCCCAGCTTTACCATGCCATTGGCTTAAGGCAAGTTAAATAACTGTACAGTAACTTCAGTCTCAACCCACCCTACCCACAATGACCTTCTCCCACATAGACATGGATACTCATCCTACCTTATCTGCTTTACTCAGAGCCAGGAGTCTGCTTTGGCTGGGCAGGAGGAAGTCAATTCTTCAAATAACTGACCTGGTTCTCGCTCCTTCCTGTCGGGCAGAGGCTGAAATAGCACATCTACGCAGCCACCCTGAGTGCTTCTGCAGCTACTCCCCACGTCATCAGAGACCCAGGCAGCAAAGCTACCCCAAAGCCACACCCAGGAGCCCTTGTGGGTCATCATTTCACACTGTTAACTATAGGAAAGGCCAAGTTGATTGATCTGATGAAATCTATCATCCTTTCCAAGAAACCCTCCAGAGATCGGTGTTCCCCATTTGCGAGTTTGACTACATCTCAAAGGATAGCTGTTAATTCAAGTCTAAATTTATAATGAGACTGGCATAGGTTTTGGTGGGAGGGAGGATAAAAATTTTTGCAGTATATCATGCATACAGAATATTACAAAAGTCATAAACAGAGCTGTGGTCTGAACATCCCCTCCCACACACGTGACATTTAACTGCCATTAACAGAGTTAAGATGTGGGACCACAGGGAGGCGATCAGGCCTTGGGCACTGCCCTTGATAGTGGGTTGATGCTGTTATCATGGGAGTGATTGTTATCTTGGGAGTACCTGTAAAAAGAGTTTGGCCTCTCCCCTTCTGCATGTGCTGCCTTCCATGACCCAGCAGGAAGGCCCTTGCCAGATGCCAGCACCTTCACCTTATATTTCCCAGCCTCTAGAACACTGAGAATTAAATTCCTACCCTTTATAAGTCACAGGTTTTGTTTTCCTGTTAGAGAAGCACAAAATGGACTGAGACACCCAGCCTGACAAATGTTCCCAAGGTTAGCTCACCCTATCAAGAAACAATATGAACAGCCCCTAGAGCCTTCTCCTGTTTCCTGTTACTATCTTCCTCCCTGGGTCACTACTCCCATGATCTAACACCATTGATGAGTTGTTCTGTTTTTTTTTTTTTTTTTTTGCATTCATATAAATAGAATCATAGGCCATTACCTCCTCTGGATCTGGCTTCTCTCTCCCAGCATTGTTTGTGAGAGTCATACACACTGTTGCATGTAGTCATCTTTTATTCATTGTTGTATTGAATTTCATTGTACTAACTTCTATATAAATTGTCATATTGTTAACGGATATTTGTGTGACAAAATTTTGGTTGCTATGAATAGTGTTGCTACAGACTTTTATTTTTTGGGTGGGGGAGGAGTACCAGGGATTGAACTCAGGGGGCACTCAACCACTGAGCCACAACCCCAACCTTATTTTGTATTTTATTTGGAGTCAGGGTCTCACTGAGTTGCTCAGAGGCTGGCTTTGAACTTGCGATTCTCCAATCTCAGTCTCCTGAGCCACTGGGATTACAGATGTGTGCCACTATGCATTAAAACACTATTGTATAGTCTTTTGGATGAGTATTTGTTTGTTGCTATTGGTTACGTGGCCGGAAACAATTCGCTGGGTCATAGGTTAGGGATGTGTTCCACTTTTGTAGATGCTGTTTAGAAGTTTTTGGGGGGTTGTATGAACTCACAATCTTACTGGCAACATGTTCCAGGTGCTCTACGTCCTCACCAACACTTGGTATTATCTGCCTTTCTTATTTTATCTGTTCAGGAGGATGTATAATGGTCTCAAATTTTGGTTTTAATGTGCATTTCCCTGATATTTAATATAGCTGTACAATTTGAACATCATTTTATATGTTAATTGGTTATTTGGATACTGTTTTAGTCAGCTTTTTCATTGCTGTGACCAAAAGATAATAACAGAGAGGAGGAAGTTTATTTGGGGTTCACAGTTTCAGAGGTCTCAGTCCCTAGATGGCTAACTCTATAGTTTGGAGCCCTAGGTAAAGCAGAACATCGTGGTGAAAAAGTATGGAGGAGAAAAGCAACTCAGGACACGGCAGTCAGGAAGCAGAGAGAGAGTGCTCCATCCAGGGACAAAATATAAACCCTATGGGCTGGAGTTGTGGCTCAGCGGTGGAGTGCTCGCCTAACATGAATGAGGCACTGAGTTTGATCCTAGCATCACATAAATGTAAAATAAAAATATTGTGCCACTTAAAACTAAAAAATAAATATTTAAAAATAAATAAAATAAAGGTATTGTGTTCAACTACAATAAATAAATAAATAAATAAAATATATCTCCTTAAAGGCTACTCCCAGTGACCTAACTCCTCCAGTCACATCCTGCCTGCCTTCAGTTACCACCCAGTTAATCCCTACCAGAGGATTGATTCACTAATTGGGTTACAACTCTCATCATCTATTCATTTCACCTCTGAACTTTCTTTCATTATCTCACACATGAGCTTTTGGAGGACACCCCATATCTAAACCTTAACAGATATCTACTCTTACGTAGAGCTATGGAAGTCTTTCACCTGTTCTTCAATTGGACCATCTGCCTTTCTCTCTTTGCTTTGCTTTGTTCTTTATATATTCAGGACATGAATCCTTGGCTAGAAATGAGTAAAGTGTGTGTATATTTTCTCCCATTCTATGGGCTTGTTTTTTCTCATTCTCCCAGTGAGCTCTTTTGGAGGTCTCAGACTCACTCATGAGGTGAAGTCTAATTGAAATGTGTAATTTTTGCCCAGTGAGCTGACAGCTAAGCTTAAGTTGCTCTGCTTGGTTTCCTCATGAGCACATGAAGTTCACGTTGGCCATTCTTCAGCTCTTTAGTTCTCAAATCTCATTCTTCTGAAGCCTAAGGATGATGACAACTTAAGATGGTGAATCCCACCAATCATGGGTGGAGGGTGCGGTGGCTGCTGAGGGTCAGAATAAATAGGGAAGACTAAATTAATAGGGCAAACTTTGGATTAAGATGGATCTGAGCGAATTTTGGCAAATCACTCAACATCTCTGAACCCATTCTCTGGTTCCTCTTAGTTTTACGGTTTGTTTAATTCATTCATAGAATTTACTGTGTAAATATTAAGTTTCGGGCACAGTGATAGTGATTGTGGTTGAGGACCTCTAGATTAAATAAGTCTTCAATAATTAGTAACTACCATTTATTTTCTAGAATTCCTGGTTTGTATCCTGAGATGCTTAGTCAATCTATTTAAGAATATTTGGAAGAAAATGCTTTTGAAATGAGAATCATTAGTTCCAAATCAGCATCAGTTTGCTCAGACCACTGTAACGAAGACCCCAGAATGGTGTCTTAAACAGAAATATATTTTCTTATAATTCTGGAGGCTGAAATCCAAGGTCAAGATGTAGGTAGGTTGGAAATGCCTTTCTTCTGGATGCCCCTCTCCATGACTTGCACATGGCCATCTTCCACCAGTGTCTTCACATGGTGACATCCTGGTGCACATTGTGACCTGAACTTTTCTTTTTATAAAGATGTAAATCACTTTGGTTAAGGTCACAGACATGACTTAGTTTTATCTTCTTACCTTTTTAACAGTTCTATATCCAAATAAATTCATATTGAGGTATGAACATATGAATTTGTGAGAGTGACGTAATTCAGACCATAACAGCAGAATATACTAAGAAAATATTAAACTTCTATTTATTTTTAAAAGCTAAAATTTAAACTTTATTAGTGTTCAATAAATAAATTTATAGTTGACTATATCATTTTAAAATAAACATATCTATAGCATACATGTTCAAAAATTACTCCTGCTAGAGAGACATAGTTAAAGAAGTTTGGAGACCACTTATCTAATGTGTCAGGCTTCAAGAGACAGCAGATAGAGGAGTTGGCAGAGGAAGAATGTAACTGCATGTTGAAATTGAGCAGGTATAACTTAGACCAAATCCAAAAGTACAGTGAGGTGACACAGGGCTGGGGAGGAAATGAAGCTGATTAGCAGTAAAGGGCAGAATGGCTGGGTCGATGACTGGGACAGGAACATGAGGATGGACAGCATGATGAAATTACAAGGGAGACCTTCAATATGCTATGTGTGTGGCAGATGGCAACATCACAGCTGTGCTACCTCAGGGGTGGCCAAGGTCTCGCAGTGGGTGGTGAAATGTGTGGAGAAGTGGGTGCGGCTCTCAGGAGCAGCACCTTCTTAGCCAGCACTCAAGCAGCCTCTTCCCCACCTTCTCTGGGATGGGGTCCCAGGGAAGTGGCCACAGCAGCCAGAGCAGCAGCTATTTCCAGTTGGCATAGCGGTGTTTCAGTACGATGGCACCTGGGCTTATCAGTCACAGCAGACCCAAATATAAGCATTTCTTAGATAACCTCCTTAACATTTAGTTTCTCAGCACAGGTCTCTCCCTCTACTTGTGTCAATCAGAACTTCATTTTCTTTCCCATTATATTAAACTCCTCAGGCTTGAGTAAACCTTGACATTATTCTTTTCTTCCTCATTCCCATTCTTGACTTAGCATAATTCCACAGTGCATCTATATAACACACTCCTAGGCACAGGGGAAGAAAGGAAAAGGTCAGATATCCACAGGTTTGAATTTGAATTGTGAAGGGCCGCAGATTTTAAAGGAGAGAAGCACAGAAAAATATTATAGATATTATTTGTTGATGTGACAACCTGTTGATTGCTATGATTATTTGGCCCATGCTTACTAAATCAAGGTGTCAGCAACTCCAGTCTATTTCTACAGTTCATAAGAGACTTAACTGGAAGGAGGAAGGGTGATTGCCAGTCTATTCTACCCCCCAAATTGGAAAACAAACCCATGATTCTCTTCACTGACTCACTGCACATGAGCTAAACATTATCTAAAATATAGCTGAATGCTAGAGATTTACGAGCAGTTATGAGTCAATGTGTTTACGCTCTCGTGCTTCTGATGGACATCCATTCTGGGAATATAGGAAGATGGCAGTTAGTGAACTGCCAATTGTCACATCAATTTTAGATTCCTTACTCCTACACACTATAATCAATTGGACAAAATATGATACCATATCCTGGCATTTCCCTCAAGCACTACAACATTACGTAAGACTAAACAATTCAAACCTTCCTATTAACAGAAATCAGCTTTTAAAAATATTCCATAAAGCCCATGTCTTAGTCAACTTTGTAGCACTAATGAATGTTCTTTCATAGTTAAAAATTGGAGAGTGGTACCCAGAGTATGTAAGTTGAAGTCAGGGAAAAGATTTTACAATGATGCTTTCTGTTGATGTATGTGCATGCTGGTGAGCTTTAGTTACAACAATGCTGAAGCTATATACATTAACAAGGCCCTATTACAGCAGCTGTTTAGGAACTTCATTTGAATGTGTAAGTTTCGAGAGTCAGGTGTGAGTCGCACCTGTAAACCTAGCTACTCGGGAGGCTGAGGAAGGTGACTGAGTTTGAGGCCAGCCTAGGGAACTTAGCAAGACCCTGTCTCAGTGCAGCGGGGTGTGGGGAGGGGTGTTCTACAAGGCTGTGAAGAAAATGAAAAGGGCCTCCAACTCCACCAACTCCACACTCTTTATTGAGGATGTTTGCTCAGAATCTCTTTACTCTTGCTTTGCACATAATTCTAAGGTACTTGGCCAGTAGAACTCAAGGCCCACAACAAAGTAGCAGAAGAAAATAAGGGGAGAGTTCAAAGTCCCTTGTTTGCATCAGAACCATAGTAGGGAGGAGACCTGGAACCAGGTGCACAGAAATGGACACTGAAAAGGGGATCTCAGGTGACTCTGGGAATGACAGGAAGACAAAGGAATGTCAGAATAAAAATCGCATGTAGACCTAGGTACAAGACTGAAACACTGAATCAGGTGAGTTGAAGCCAGGTAAAAGAAGAGTACTTACAAGGTAAAATAAAGTTCAGAATTGACCTGTCCAGCAGGTCTCCTTGCTAAGACCACTTGCCCAGGGCAGAACAGCCTTGGGTCTGTCTCAGTTCTGCCCTCCTCTTGAAGTTCTCTGAGTCCAACAAGAAGGCACTGCATTCCCCAGTTCTCTTCATTTGGCTCTGAGGCAGAGCAAATATCTCTGGGTGATTCATTTATTCGTTATTTATTCATTTAGTTTTTTTTTTAAGAGAGAGTGAGAGAGGAGAGAGAGAGAGAGAGAGAGAGAGAATTTTTAATATTTTTTAGTTTTCGGCAGACACAACATCTTTGTTGGTATGTAGTGTTGAGGATCGAACCCGGGCCGCACGCATGCCAGGCGAGCGCGCTACCACTTGAGCCACATCCCCAGCCCCCATATTCATTTAGTTTTAATTGTGCACCTACTATGGACCAGGCACAATGTCAGGGGAAGGAGATACATTAGTGGATAAAATGAATTTTGCTCCATGGAAGTTAGATTCTACATGGAGAGAAAACAAAAGTGAGAGGAGTTCTAAAAAGGAAAGACAAAGGACACAGAGGTAGACACAATTTGTTTCCTTAAATGGAGTGGTCAGAAAGGCCTGTTGAGGTAATTCTGAGCTAAGACCTGATAAGACTTAATTACTTGGAGACCACCATGAGTAAGTAGTAGATTATCAACATTCTTGAAATCATTGACTCATGGCAAGGCAAAGTGGAAGAGAGGATGGAAGTTTCTTTGGAACTAAGATCCTGATAGACCACTCAGGTTACAGTCAGTCAGTCAGTCCACACATACTCTAAGTGAGAGATGCCAACCTTGAGCAATAGTTAGGAGTATACAGTGTAGAAACAGGGCTGCTGGAGGACAGCACGGGGATCTGGAGCCTAGTCTACCAAGTCCCTGGGATCTTTATTTTCAGCTCTTCTCAGGAGGACGGTTAGTGGGTTCCAGCAGCAGGGCTTTGGAGAAGTAAGGAGTGACCATTCAACTTAAAGTGCTTGCTTGGTTAAACCAGAACAAGCAGCCTCCAAAGTCAAAAGCCCAAGCCTGGAGTACATGCAGTAGGCGCACACCCAGCCCTGTAGAGCTGGGTGATGTTGCTCCTCTCCAGAGGCCTCTGGACACGTCAAGTCTGCATCTAGTTCACTATGGCTAAGGAAGCGTGCTGCATTTCACAAAATTCTCCACTTAAAGTGTTTTTTTCACACGGTACCTAGAGGAAAAATTCTCATTTACTGGATATGGGGAATTTACCTCTCCAAGGTTTTGTTCAGACAACTATCCTAATCCTAGGTTCTCAAGGGACTGTGACCAACCTCTCACATTACGCCTTACCTTCAGAAGTCACTTTACAGTCTACTGCTAGTTGTCTGGGCCCGTTTGAAAGCTCCAATTAATTCACACAGTACGAGCTGGAGCGGGCGCCACGGCGACGCTTCCCCTCCCTGACTTGCTTTTGTACATTTGTTTGGCTCCAGTTGCTGCGGTTTAGTGAGCTGCTAAGCTACCCTGACCGGTTCGCGTGGAAACCATCACGTCCCGAAGGACTGACCGGCCCCCAGCGGCGGGTCCAGCGGCTTGCTCAGACCTCACTCAAGCCCGCGCGGCGCTGGGAGGGGCGGGGCCCGACGTAGGGCGTGGGCGTGGGCGTGGGTCGGCGTGGTGGGTGTGGCAAGTGGGCGGGGCCCTGGCGCCAGAATGGGCGTGGCCGGAGCGGGCGGACGCAGGCGTCGGGGGGCGTGGGCGTGGCTTGAGTGGGCCTGCGCAGTCCGCTGTACTCAAGGCGGCGGAGGCGACGAGCTGGAGGAAAGATGGAAGACTTCCAGGCTGCCGAGGAGGTAAGCGCCCGGGGGGCGACCTTAGGGTGGATCCCTGGGCGTGGTGGCGCGGTCCTGCCTGGGGAGTCTGGGCTAAGTTTCTCCGGTGGCTCTCCGGGCTGTGGCCGTCCCTCCCCGGCCGCAGGCTGACGAGCGCCGGTGCCGCCCCGCTACAACCTGCACCGGCTCCACCGCCGTTGCTTGGCGGGGAGGGGCGCGGGAGGCTGGGACTGCGACTCCTTCCCGCGCGGCCGGCGCCCAGGGCCACCGAGGGAGCGTCCTGGCGCCTCCGGGAGCTCGATTTCGCTCGGCCCCGTCTTCCGCCGCCCGGCCCCGGGAGCGCTCCGGTCGAGGCTGGAAGACTGGAGCTTGGCATTGTAGCGGACGCCAGGGTGTCCTGCGTGCGTGACAGGGGCGCACAGGGCCACCTCCCAGGCCCTTCAGTCAGGGACTGGTGTGCACCCGTGCAAAGAGGAGAACCTGCCTTTGTCTCAGTTCCGCACCGCTCCTGGTCCTGCGGTGCAGCGCTCACTCCCACCCAGGCCGCCGCGAAGGAGTACGTTCCATTATAGTATGAGTTTGAGAGGTTAATAGCTCATTCTTGTGGGGGGAAAAAGTCTCTTCCTGCTCCAAGAAGGAGGGTCAAAGCACACCATCGTTTGTCACGCAGTAGTCATTGTAAGGTGTGCTGCTGTGATGGCTTTTCTTCAGGCTGACAAGCATTCAGGAAAAAGCGGATAGAATAGTTGCTTATTTCTTCTTGCCAAATAATCCTTGCTGAAATTCAAATAGAGCTCTATGTTTTATGCAGCCTGTCAAAAATAAAAACATGAATTTGGTAAGGTTTGGTATTTTGTCATTTTTTAACATTTCAACCAGGAATGTTTTGATAGGTAAATAAGACTTAAGGACTGAGCCTAGAGTTTGTTACATCTGATTTCCTGGCAGTAACTTTTAAAGCAATGCCATCAGTGTTTGAATGTTGGTTAGCAACCAAGTAGATAATCCTAAGCAGCCAGGGTTCAGAAGCCATGAGCAAAGAAGCTTTTCCCTGTAAACCACCAACTAATATAGGATTGGAAAATGGCTTGTATAATAGTAACATTGAGTAAACCTTTTAAAAGGGGGGGGTACTGTGAAGAAACCCTCAATAATGCATTCTAATTCTGGCTTTTATAGTGAGGTGGCTTCATTATTTCAGAGTGCAGTGGCATGTCTGTAAAATGAAGGGGAGCACCTGGTTGGATGAGACCATGACTGTCTTGGGTTCGTCTTCGTGTTTACTAAATTGGCCATTCTAGTCCTACCAGCCTCTCAAGAAGCCTTTTCTGCATATCCTCTAACTTCATGTGGATTCTACTCCTAACTCATTCATTTTTCTCACATAAGTTGAAACTGTCCAATGGATTCAATACATCTGCTCTACTTTCCACTAAAAGTTCATTAAAATCTCCTCTACCCTTGGCATACTTTAACCTTATGCAAAATTATACAGGACTTTACGTTATGGTTAGGATCACTGTAATCTCTTGGAAGGGTCCTTTAAACTTCCAGAAATGTTTTGGTCTCTAAGATACTGCACATCTTCATTTACTTGGTGTGATTGGGTTTGTTTCCAAGTCTGACTTCTCCTGAGTGTAGCAAAGATACACTTTGAGCAACCAGCTCTTATTTCTAGTGAAAAGAAAGAGACATCACTAGAACAGGGCAGAGCCCAAATGGTCACCAGGCAGTCAGGGAGGAAAACTCCCTGCCACAGCAGAGCTGGATGCTCTTATTCCACCTGCGAAGCACTCTGACTGAGGGTCCCTGGGACTGTCCTCTAGGAGGCATATCCAGAACTAAGTTCTGTTCCTAGGACTCAACAGTAACTTTAACTGCTCATTCTCCTGTGAGGGAGCACTGTGGCAGGCAGGTTCCTGACAGATGTTATTTTCAGGATGACCTGTAACTATGAATCTGCCATATATGAAAAGGAAATAATACTTTTGGACTAGATTGCTGCTGACAGCCCACCTCCTCAGTCAGCTGGTTGTGAAGTGGTACAGCATTCAGAAAAATCATTATCCAGAGACAGTGCCGTCATTTTAAATTTTATGGTTAATAGTGGCTTTAAAAAAATAAAACCAACCTCTGGGTTTTAGGCCTCCTAATCAGTTTACATTAGGGAAGAGAGAATTACATCTTTTAAATGGCTTGCTTAAGTTGCATCAATTAATTTATATAAAAATTGAGTAGTTGGGCCGAGGCTGTGGCTAAGTGGTAGAGCATTTGCCTGGGGCACATGAGCCACTGGTTCAACCTCAGCACCAGATAAAAATAAAATAAATATTAAAAAACAATTGAGCAGTAACCATCTATACTGGTTAATGATCCTACCAGCCAATTGAATGGGAGATCAAATTCTAGATCAAACTTAAAGCGGGATCTGAGATTGTAGCATGATTATAACAAACAATAGCAACAGAACCTTTAAATTATATACATGTGTTCTAGTCCTGCAGCTGCAGTCACTGGCTCTGTGATGCTCAAGGACCACTTAATGTTTGAGTCTCCTTGTAATGCATTCCACAGTAAAGTGAACAGGCTAGGTGAGATAACTTCTAAAATCTTCATTTCTATATTTTGTTACTTAAATTTGCATTTATTGATGCAATAGAAACATCTTTTGAATAAATCAAACTTATCTAAGTTTTCTTCCCTCACAGACTGCTTTTGTTGTTGATGAAGTGAGCAACATTGTCAAAGAGGTAAGAGGAGAAATGCTTTCTTTTTAAGCATTTGATTAATGACTTTTATGAATGAAAACACTATATAAGTGTTCAGCAGTTATTGAGCCTGTGTGTTCTGGCATTTCAAATAACATTTTTCCTTCATTATTATTTAGATCAGAATTATTCTAATATTGTGTAAATTATATGCATTAAATCAGGAAATTTTATGTGGCATATTATTAAATGTTACCAAGGCTAAATTCTATGACCTTTTAGCATAGAAAATTCATGGCATACAAATAACTATTTCTAGTGTTTAATGGGAGTGAATGTAAAGGAAATTTAACAACTTTGAGTTAGGAACTGGTGATGCAGTTTGGGGCTTAGTCAGTTATTTTTCTTAAACTAAACTACCCACATTATTGTTATGCAGCATAGTCTCTCCCTTAAAGGATGAGGAGGATGACACAAAAGGGATGTTGAACTGCCTTCATTCATGGAGGGAGCAGCCAGGGACTGACCCACCCTCCTGGAGTTTGCAGTGGGGGGACGGCTTATCAGATACTTGTGCTGGGACATGCGAGCTTACATTTGCTGTGTGGAAGTGCCACAGGACTTGGTGCTGTGAGAGCATTTACAAGGGGATTCAACCTAAATTGGGGTTAACACAGTGGAAAAATGGGAACACCACCTCTGGGCTGTGACAGCGTGTGCAGAAGCTCCAGCGGTGAGGGCTGAGCATGGAGTGTGAGAAGGGGTGGCAGGGTTCAGAGCTGGGGACTCTTGGGGCAGTAATGAAATCAAAAAGGTTTTCCTAGTCACTTCCTGCCTAGGTAAGATGGAGCACAGATGTTGAGCCACTGGCTAAGGGAAAGTCATTCAGTAATCTAACTAAAAGGGTACCATTTAAGGGTTCATATGATAATTTACTGCTAATGCAAATTATCGACTAATGCTGGAGTAATAAAGAACAACAACCTGTTTTTGTGAAAAGTATCCAAATGCAAAATGATTTTCTCTTTTACTATATACATTATTTAACATCAGGCATGATTTTCTCATTTCTTTGTGGGGTCTTTAACAATTTGTTTTTCACTGTTTCATGTCTGACAGGTGGGAGCAGGAAGGTGTAAATTAGACTGGAACTGGGAAAAGTGGAGGCTTGTTAGGTTCTAATGTTGCCTCCTTGTTTCTTGAATTAACTTTGACTTGCTCACCAGGGAGCAGGAACAATGGAAAGTCTAGGTCACCACCCCACAAAGAAGCCTGGGGTGAATATGGCCAGTGTATCACTGGCCTCAGTGGCATTTTTGCCCTGGTAACAGGTTCATTCTCTATTCAAGCTGTTTTAAATAATGACAAGTTATAATTTGGACAAGTCCAAACCTGAAGGAGGGGTTTTCCCCCTTCCTGAAAAAGTGAATTTCAGAGTGTGTGTAGAGTTGCCAGATTTAGAGGTTTGACTTGAACAATGTCTTCCCCTTTTTTGACAGTTTCCAGGTCTATAATACCATAGTCCCCCTAAAGCAGAACTGCTGGACCCCCACATACTCTGAGCTAGGTGGAGCAGACATGGCAGTGGATGAGGAACCAGGAGCTGTGTTAGCAACTGGATAGATAGGAAGATAGATAGATAGAGCGAGCCCTGGACAGATAGGAAGAGTTGGGGGCGGAATCAGGTTGTGACCCTTTGTAGGTTTTTATTCCTCAGAAGCAGGGTCGCTGGCCAGGTAACCACCTGTTACCTGGTGTCTTTCACCACCACCTGCATTGCAAGCCTTGGACTGTTGGCTGGCTCTCTGTGTATGTCTGAGGATGGAACATGGCCCTCACTGAATGTTACTTTTATTTTAGGTTATAACTGTCAAAGAAACTCAGATTTCTGGTTTCTAGCACAACAGATTAGAAAGGCACATGGGCTAGTGTGAAAGGGAGCTGACAGGGAAGAACCCAGAAAGCCACAGGACGGGAATCTCATAGCAGTAAGCTTACCAGCAGGAGCAGGGACAGTGGGCCCTATCCTAGAACAGCCCTAGAAGAACAGAGCGCAGAAGAGGGAGGTTCAAAATAAACAATGTTGTCGCAAATGTTTAAGTTTTGACATGTAAGGGCTGTTCTTTAGCCCTATAAATGAACGACTCCTTATAATTAAGAATAAACTTGCATTTTACATAAATATTATTTTATTAGCTC